AACAAGCCACATACACAGCCCCTAACTTTAATGGTAGTTGGAGAAGGAGGCAGGGAGGTGAGGATGGGAAGTCCTCACCACACCACACACACACACACACACATATTACCAAGACTTACATTCAGCCATTCATTGAACAGATGTGCCAGGCACTGTTCTAGGTACCAAAGATATGGTGGTGAATAAAACTGACAAAACACCCTGTCTTCATGGAGCTCACATCCTAGTTGGGAGAAATGGATGATAAACGAGATAAGCAAGTACATGAAATGGTGATAAGTGCCAAGGAGCAAATCAAGGAAGGAAAGGAGACGGGAAGAGTGCGGGGCAGGAGGTTGCAGTTTTAGTTGGGGGTGACAGGGAAGACTTCACTAAGCGGGAGACATCTGAGAACAGACCTACAGAGTGGAAGACAAGCCATACAGATATGCAGGAGGACGCTGGGAGGGGTGGCACAGAGCGCCCGCTGGAAGAGCAGGGGGGAGGCCTGTGTGGCTGCAGTGAAGGGCGTGAGGGACAGTGGTAAGATAAAGTCAGAGGAGTCGAGGGAGAGCTCACGGAGAGCCTGCAGGACAGGCAGGACTTCTAGAAGGCACTGGAAGAGTTTGAGCAGAGCGATGCGGTCTGACTTGAGTTTTAACGGAAGTGAGAGCTGAGATTAGCTGAAGGGGACAAAGGCAGAAGCAGGCCCCAGCTTGACAAGAGACAAGCGACCATCTCTGGAGAACTCTGACGGGGAGGGGGTAGGGAATTCAGTAAGGAGAGAGTGGGCCACACTGCAGCCTCCCTCAGTGCATCAACCATAGTGGGTGTGTCAGACCTGACCTCGAGCAAACTTTTCACCATGTGGCCCGGATATCAAATCCTTCATTCAAATGATGCAAGGAGAAGCCACACAAACAAATACAAAACCAAACCCATTGCCATCAAGTTGATTCTGACTCATAGCTACCTGTAAGACAGACTAGAACAGCCACATAGGTTTTCCAAGGCTGTAATCTCTAAGGAAGCAGCTTCCCCCTTTTTTTTCCGTTGGGTTGGTTGTTGGTTTGGTTCGGCGGCCAGGTGTTTACCCCGGTTCCCCCCGGGGCGCCCTTTTAACCCCTTTATTCCCTTTCCCTTGGAAGGTTGGCAACCCACCTTGGGGTTTTTTCCAAGGCCTTCGGCCGGGGCCGGTTTCCAAATTACCTGCTAAAGAGAAGCCTACCCATTAACCCACCTGCACATTGCCACCCTAAAGGGACATTATTATTTAAGTACTGTCTAATTGTCCCACATTTCTGATAGGATTAAAACTTCTCAGAATACTTACTTCCATAACCAGACTGAAGTAAGACAAAAGTAATTACCAGGTCAGGCGGGCACAAAGGGCTTTTTGCCAGGCTACTTAGATATTTTAATTCTCCATTGCCTTAGCAGCTAAATAAGCATGGAGAACAAGTAGGAGAGGAACACTAATTAGAGCTAATTAGACCCTGCCCTCTCCTGCCTCCATCTGATTTCTAAAAAGCCCCCTCATGTAAAAAGAGTTAAAATGTAAATACATAGGGGAAACAGCAGACTACAAACCAAGCCCACTGTCCGCATTTCATTGTCCTGTCATTTCTAAACTTATGCTTGGTTACCTGGGCCAAATTCCAAGCAGTCCCATCACTGACCATGGAAAATGTGGAGGTGGTGGTTTGTGTGTGCGTATGCATGCATTTCAACGTGAGTCCACTTAAAAGAATAAAGGCTTCTCTTAGGATTTACAGCATTCTAATTTTCAGGGCATTCACTGAAAGAATAACTGATTTTTTTTAAAATAAATGATAGCAACCATGACTCCAGTCATGAAGCAAGAGCAATACCACATTTCTCCATTCTAGAGCGCAGGGACTGGGTGGAAAGGCCTCATCCTGAGAAACACTTCCCTGGTTTTGTGGGAAGACCATTATCCTAGGATCCTGTCTGGGAGGTTCTAGGCCATGGGACAAGAGAGACAGGGGGATTTGTCAGCCTTCCAGGGACTTATTTGAAAGGAACCCTCCCTAAACTAAATGTGTTTCTTGCTGGGTTAAGTATAGAGATTAAAGTGCGGTGAAAGGAACAGAACAGGCAGTTGGCCACTGGTTTAGGAACACCCGGGCATGGCCCTGCAGGTCACCTCTTTCTTCCAGTGGGTAACTGAGGTTTTTCTTTCAGATCATATTCCTAGTACAAGATAGAAACAAGCTCTGGACAAAGTACCTGCCTTGCTTCCAGAAAAGAAGAAGAAAAGAGAAGGGAAGAAGAGAAAAGAGAAACAACATTCAGGGTTGGTTCAGAAACATTGGGAAACCAGGAGAAATCACACAGATATGAGCCAGCCTCTAAAGCGAGGAACCCACGCAAAGCTCCGGGCAGTAAGAAGGAGATGGTGGGGTCTGGTGACCAGCTTGCCCTACCACCACTCTGCTGACCCACTGGAGGCTGGCTGAGCTCAAACAGGAAAGGAGATAAACCACCCATCACAGAGATGGGCAATGGGAAAAGGGAACCCTGGAGAAGGAGGAAATAAACCACAGTGGCCCAGTGCTTTTTCTCCCTACCTCAGCTGAGGCATGTAGTACAAAGGTCATGATGTAGTGGAAGGGGCACTGGACCCAGACTGATCCCTAGTCCACTGCTCCCAACCCAAGGACAAGTTTGGTGGGTAAGTCACTCTGCCCTTGGGCCCATCTGAAAAATGGAGATTGTTATGAGGATGGATATGAACTTTGAAAAAGAAAAATCACAATGCTGATGGAAAATAATGGTTTAAGGAACTCTCCGCAACTGGAAATATGTGTTTTTATTAGAATCACAGAACGTCAAGCTGGAAGGCAACTTAGAAGTTATCTACTTTAGCAGTACCCAAAAAGAGAAAAAGAAAAAGGGGGGAAGGGGAATTAATATGAGATTGCCAGATTTTAATAAAAGAAAATAAGTTTTCCAACAACTATATATATATTATAATATATATATAATTTGTATATATATAAAATTAGGACATAATTTGAAACTTAAGTACAGACACTGGAAAGCAGGGCCATTGGCAATGACAGATACACTCGTGTGTGATAGGGGACACATTATCCTTCTCTTTGCATTTCCCTGGGGACAGATGGAAACATCAGTGATAGACACTGGCTGCCAGATCGGTGTTTGGAAAGCACTGATCTTACTCCAAGCTATGAAGTGATTATTTTCCCATCAAAGAAAACTTGCTACAGTATTAAGTTTGAATTAGGGCCTGAACGAAGTTTTTGTTTGCCCAGACCCCCTCCTCCGCTCTCAGACGTAAACTTAAGCTGCCTTCATGTAAATGAGACGCCGTTGGGGGAACAATTCTCCTCTTGGGCAACCAGGCAACCACTTGGACACAAGAGCAAGCAAGTATCTCAAGTTTAAAAGTGAGCAGAGCACCGTAACACCCAATTATTTCCTTAGGGAAGGAGAAAGTTTGGAGCTTCCTAACTTTTTTTTTTTTTTTTAGAGCGGAAGGGGGCAGGGGGTTGCTAATTGGCCTGGCAGCCCCAGCGTCAAACAGAGCATCCTTCCTTTGGGACCTCCTAACTGCCAACTCGGAAAACTGAAATTTGCGGCTTCTTACAGGCAGCCAGCCCCCAGGAAGTGCCGGGCTAATGCCAATCTCACACCCCCTGCCCTTCGCTCCAGAATCTTCCACAGTTACGGGAGTGTGAGGCACGCAGTTTCATAAATCGCAGGATAAAGCCAGGAAGTCCCTGGTGCGCCCTGGCTTGGGACATGGGTCTCCCCTTTGGTATGTGGCCGTTTGGGGGAGGGGACGGGGGGTTGCATCTTTAAAGGAAGGCGGTTGGTCGAGGGCCAGTGAAACCCGAGGATGTGCTCTGGGGCCCTACACTCCCGCAATTCCAGGAGACAAGCCCTCCAGAGTCCCGCGGCTCCAGATCTCGTGCTTCGGGTTGCCCTTTGCCTCTCCCGGGCCAGAGCACCGGCGGCATCGCTCCGTGCCTCCCAGCGGCCTGCCCGCCCCCGGTCGGCCACAAGGGCCGCTTTGTGCCCAGGAAGCGAGAGCCCTGGTCCAAACGCAGGGGCTGGCAGCGGCATCCTC